CAGTTGAACTTCAGCAGCGCTCAATGCGCCGCCGCTGCAGCAGCAGCAGCAGCAACAGCAGCAGCAGCAGCAGCAGCTCAGCTCAGCTTATATCACGTACAGAAAAAGTGTAAGATGGCGGGAAGGAGAGAATGAGGAGTCCGCTGCCTGCTGCATTTCAGCTTTCTCATTCAACCCGAATGCACAGGCAGACGACAGCGCGAGCAGTGCCGACGGGCGATCATCGGTGAAACATTGTGGAAACTTTGAAAAAAATACCACTAAACAAAAGGAAATGACGAGTTTAAATATTAAATAAAGATAAAATTCAGATAAAATGCATAGAAAAACCTACAGACAGGCACAGCGGCATCGAAAGCTGAACTGTGGTGGTTAGCCTCGGCTGGCTGGGGCCCTCTGAAAACAGGGCTTCGAGACGGCGACGAAGGCGATGCAAATGCAGCAAAAAAAATAAAAATAAAATTCGTTTTATATTTTTAATTAATTTAATTCAAAAGATATTTACTGCATATACAGCTGAGACGAACAAATCCACTGTGTCAACCCAAATTCAACTTCGCCGCATCTTCCGTTCGTTCGCTGTGGGGTTGCACGATGGGTTAAATGGCATTTTATTTTCTCTGAATATTTATAGAAGATTAATTAAAATTATGTTTTCAAAGAAATTTCGCAGAAATACCGGGAAAAGCTCTCATCAGTTGCGCTGATTTCGAGTAGCCACCTCTGCATGTATTGAATGGAGAGAAGAGGAAACGTTGGGTTTCCTTCGCCGGCGTTCTTGATTAGTTTATTAAAGAATTTTATTTGTATTTCTTTGCATATTAACGGCTAAATACCAATCAGAAGACCGAAAGGTAAACCTGAAAAGCACGAGCAAGCAACCATCAAGATGAGGCTGCAGGCGGATGTGTTGCGGTATATGACGAAGGGGGAGTTTCGTGTATTGACGGCAGTGGAGATGGGTATGAAGAACCACGAGTTTGTATCGGCTCAGTTGATAGAACAAATAGCGGGTTTGCGGCGTCACTCAATTCGCCAGATTCTGAGTATTCTGCTGAAAAATAAACTTCTCTATCACTGCTCCAAGGTGTATGATGGCTATAAACTAACTTACTTAGGTTACGACTACCTCGCCCTCAACGCTCTGGTTAAGAGGGGCCTCGTCAAGGGCGTTGGCGTCCGCATAGGTGTAGGAAAGGAATCAGATATTCATCTCTGCGAGGGCGCAGACGGCGCCGTCTTGGTGCTGAAGCTGCATCGGCTGGGTGAGAGCTCTTGAGATATTCACCTGTGCAGTGTATGGGGGGTTAAGTAGAGAGAAACGCAGCACAGTATTCTTTTTTTCTTTTGCATGCTTTCTATTCTCTTCTTCTTCGTGATATGCTTCAGAGGTAACTGCTGTTTGCTTACTACAGGCCGCATCTCCTTTCGTTCCATCAAGAAGAATAGAGATTACATGCAGCACCGCACACACTGCAGCTGGCATTACCTCGCCCACCTGGCAGCTGCACGAGAGTTTGCATATCTGAAGGCGCTGCACTCTCACGGCTTTCCAGTGCCAGAGCCGGTTGATACAAACCGGCATGCAGTAC